AATAACAAAAGTTGGAGAGAGAAAAAAAAAGAGGTTAGTTTTGTGTTTGACTTTGAAATATGGGTTAAATCTGAAACTCTCTCATCTTTAAAACCCTGTATTTATATCCTCAAAAAACCTGACTCCTAAACCCACTTGAGCCCATTAGAAAACCATGCCGTGGGGGCTTCTCCCCCACACCCCCAGTGAATCCGCATAAGCCCATGACCAATGAAACCCACTAGGTCCGGCTAGAGCTCGCCCACCGGCCTTTGAATTAGGCCACCTAAGAAAGGTTTTACATGTGAAGCTATGCGAGGTTTAGATCACCTCATTTATCTTAGCACTTAACTCTCTCTCTCTCTTTCCCTATTTTTTCTTTCTTTTGGATCAGTTAAAGTATTGAACTACTTGATTTTTAAAGTGCAAACACAGAGGATTCAACTTTCTCTGAACTTCCATTACACCTTTAGGCTTGACAATCTTTGCGAGGAAGTTATGTGTATAAGAAACAATGAGCAATTCTCTAAGGTTCCATTTGATAGAAGATGTTATGTGTATTCCTCGTTTGATAAAGAGAGGTACTACTACTCGCATAATGAGCGGTCTGAATTGGAAGAGCTATGTCTTACTAAGACCATTTGGATCGAGGCGCCACAGACGAATGACTTTGGCTTTATGTGAAAACAAAGCATATTATGGCAAATGTTTTTGCACTTGTGTAGAGCATAGAGAATATCTGGGTTTGATTGGTTTAGTTTCAGCTTTATTCAACTGTTTTGGAGGTCATTGTCTCATTGATCAAGCAAATGGTTTGTTTTGGCGGTTCATTTAACCCGTTGGACCTGATTCAAGAAACAAGCCACTTAGCGAAGAAGCAAATGAAGGGTGTTTAGTGATAGATAAGGAAGTATAATACAATAGGAATGTAATATTTGTTGTAATTATTAGACCGTTGTACTTCTTTTTGTATATATTGTAAATAGAAACCGATTGTGCTATTCTCCTTCTAATATTAGTTTTTTAATCGATGCATGGTAAATCTGATAAACAAATTCACTTCACTTTTTCCACACTTTTTACTTTACTTTAAACAATTAAAATTTTCTTTATTTTATTTTGAGCAGTGGATGTTTTATATCTTTTTATTGTAGTATCTATTACTCTTTATATGTTTGGATCTTAACTTTGTAAGAGTATAATAAGTTAAACTTTTATCCAATTTACAATGGTTGCAAAGAATGATATTCGACTTATCAGTTGGCACTATTACTTTAAGCATAATAATAGAATATAACTTGTAGGAGGATTTTGATGATTTTGTGAAAAATTATCTTTCAGGAGATGTTTTGCTATTCAAAAATTGGTATATAGACTTACGTCGTTACATATATTTGGTTGAACTTTGATGTAACCTTCACAATGTTTAATTATACTGGTATCAATAAAATGGTTACATGGTCGACAAAAAAAAAAGACTTACGTCGTTACCATGCCAAATGATAGACGTACGCAGAGATAGGCATGATTTTTGGAGCAAAGACACAATTTGGAATCTTATAGGTTTTGTGGGAAAATAAATATTTCAGATTTAAAATAGGATAATCAGAATATTTTACGCCGAATGTGTATTTGCCAATAACTGATAAATTAAAAAAGATTATATCGATTAATAGTTACTTCATTTGAGTTAACCAGAATACTTAACTAATAAATATGATATTTGCCAAAAAAGACAAGAAGTCAACTAGTCAAGAACAGTAGCTCGCCCCATTTCATATTTATGAGCTACATGTTATAAAAATCAAAGAAAGAAGCACGTATATTCAATAATTACGGATAATTTTTTTATTTTTATGGAGCTTACTCCATACATAATAAATTTTGCCTTTTAACTTCTATATAAATGAACATTTTCGTTCATTTGTAAAATCATCTCATCCTTTAATTATAACATCTTCCTCCTTTCTCTTTCTTTCATTCTTTCGCTTTCTCTTTTGCAAGTATCCTATTCTTTTGCGGATATAAAATTTTTATCTTTATTTATATTTATCTTAATAATAAATTATACCTATTATTAAAACACGTTATCAGTACGATAACTCTACGTTATAGCTAAATATATATTCATAATATATACACTACTATAATAGGCGGTATATCGCTTGTATAACTATTTATTATTTTCAGTGGATGTTTAACACATCACTATTATTTAATATTATAATGGGCGATTTGTCTCACCTTATTATTATTTTACTATTTATATCATGGTTGCTAAATGCACCATAATTATTTATTTTTATTAATATTACAATGGCCAACTGTGTCGCCTCGTAATTTTGTTATTAGATAAATGTGGATGACTATGTCACCATAATGTTACTGTTAAAATAATGGTTGTTATATAAGGAGGCTCTGCCACCTGTATATAAACCTTATGTCTAAAAATTAATAGGTTTAACTGATTGTTTATTAAAATATTTGGATTAATTCTTTTCTTCAATTATTTTCTCACCAATGGTCACAAAGAAAATCTTTCAAAATTTTCACTTTTTCAAACGGCTATGAACTATGTTTTTCAATCTATAAATATACTTATCCTTCATTCATTCATTTCACTCAAACATCATATCTTCCCTCAAATATATTTCGGTTTTCATTCTATAAGAAAGATGATTCGTTTGTTATTGAATTTAAGCGCGATTGTAATTTTTGCTTCTATTAATGGTCTCTCCGCTGGAGAATTTACTCGCAAAGAGTATACTACAACTGTTATGATAATTTTTTATGCAGTATTCTTTTTTGTAATTGCTTTAGTAATTCATGTAAACGGTTTGTTTTAATGTAAACATTATTATCTTACTAATAATATTTTTGCATTCATGTTTTAGAAATGGCAAACATTGAGAAGCTTAAGTTCCTGGCTCTCAGAATAACTGGAGCAAACTACATAGCATGGATCACCAATGCGAAACTTTATCTAGAGTCAAAAAGTTAACCGACACCATAAAAGAAGAAAATGAATCGTCTGCCCATGATAAGGCAACAGCGATCATTTTCCTGAGGAAACATCTAGATGAAAATTTGACGCACGACTATGCGCACATAAAAGATCCATAGAGCTCTGGCAAGCTCTCAAAGAAAGGTTTGACAACCAGAGGGAAATAAACCTCCCCCATGCTCTTGAAGAGTGGAAAAACTTGAGGTTTCAAGATTTTGAAAAGGTTGAAGATTATAATTCTGTTATTCTGAGAATTGTCTCACAACTGAAATACTGTGGTAAACCCGTCACCGATGCAGAAATGCTCGAAAAGACGTACCTTACATTTCATAAGGAACATCGTATCCTATAAGAAATGTATAGGAATCGTGGGTATACAAGATTCTCTGAATTGATTGTGACACTCATATTAGCAGAGAAGAATAATGAACTTCTCATCAGAAACCATAATTCTCGACCTACGGGAACCAAAGCATTTCCTGAAGCAAATGCGATGGTTATAGAAAAACCAGAGATGAAAAGTCAAACCAATAGGGGTCGTGGCCGTCGATTCAATCGTGGACAAGGTAGGACTTACAACCCAAAAGGGAGGAACTCATACAAGTGGGTTCAGTCTGAACAAACTTCAAAGGGGAAAGAACCCCAAACGAATATCACCCAGAAGCGTGAGGATGTATGTTACAGATGCGGGTCCAAATGACATTGGTCTCATACCTGTCGAACCCCTCCACATCTTTGTAAGTTGTTCCAAGAGTCTGTCAAAGGAAAAGGGAAAGAAGTGAACCTCACGGAACACTTCGAGGGTACATCATACCTCGACTCCTCCGACTTTGCGGATGATTTCGACGAGACCGTTGTAGCGGATAACTGAATTGTTTGTAGTGAGACTACTGAATAGTCTCCGCTAATGCCATGTATAATTATTACATTTCTGTTTTAAAACGAATAATGTTGAGTCTCTCAACAACCTATTGTATAATTATTACGTTTTCAGTTTTAAAATATATAGTGTTGTTTTTACAACAATGTATAATTATTGTATGCTTTCCTATGAATGAAATTTATGTTTTCTTCATTAATGTTTATGTTAATTACAGAGATGGATCATATTAAAGATGGAACAACATCCAAGGAAAATGTTCGAGAAATCTGTATACCAGATAGTGGAACAACACACACTATCTTGAGAAAGAAAAAATATTTCTCTAATTTGAAACTGACAAAGATTATTGTCAATACAATTGCATCTCGTGACAAAACGAAATCCAGAAGATTTAACATTGTGGCATGATCGCCTCGGTCACCCAGGAACATCAATGATGCGAAAAATTATAGAAAGCTCACATGGTCATTCGATGAAAATCCAGGAGATACATCTTAGAAATAAAATGACATGTGCTGCATGTTCTCTTGGTAAATTGATTATAAGGTCATCGCCAACCAAAATTAATAATGAATCACCAAAGTTCCTTGAACGAATTCAAGGGGATATTTGTGGACCAATACATCCATCATGTGGACCATTCCACTATTTTATGGTATTAATTGACGCATTCAGCAGCATGTTTGTCTATTATCATCTCGAAATATGGCATTTGCGAGATTTCTAACTCAGATAATAAAACTGCGAGCTCAGTTTCCTGATTATCCCATTAAGAGAGTTATATTAGACAACGCTGGTGAATTCACATCCCAAGCATTTAATGATTACTGCATGGTAATGGGAATTGAAGTTGAACATTCTGCGGCTCATGTCCATACACAAAATGGATTGGCTGAATCATTAATTAAGCGTCTGCAACTGATTGCAAGACCACTGATTATGAAATCAAAACTCCCAACATCTGTATGGGGGCATGCTATTTTGCATGCAGAAGCACTCATTCGGATAAGACCAAGTGTGTACCATAAGTACTCCCCGTTACAATTAGCATTTGGTCGAGAACCAAATATTTCCCATCTAAGGATCTTTGGTTGTGCAGTTTAAGTGCCTATAGCGCCACCGCAACGAACAAAGATGGGACCACAAAGACGGTTGGGAATATATAATGGATATGATTCTCCATCTATTATACGATACCTAGAACCACTGACTGGTGATGTTTTTACGGCACGATTTGCCGATTGTCACTTTGATGAGAAAGTATTCCCGGTTCTAAGAGGAGAAAATAAGGGTGTAGGAAAGGATATCAAATGGAGTGTACCATCTCTGTTACACCTTGATCCTCCCACTAAACAGTCAGAACTAGAAGTTCGACGAATTATGCATTTGCAGAGTATAGCAAACCAGCTACCTGATGCATTTGCAGATACCAAGACGGTTACTAAATCACATATAACAGCTGCAAATACTCCTGCTCGTATTGATATACCACAAGAACGTGGAAAAGCAGATGATACACGTGAGTCTAGAACACGCTTGAAGCGTGGTAGACCTGTCGGTTCCAAGAACAAAAATCCTAGAAAACGAAAGGAGGCTGAAATGCATAATACTCCCAAAATAGCAAGTATTTTGGAAGAAGTAAATCACGAAACTAATGATAATCCAGAGCCCCAAGAACCTTAGAAAAATCATGAGATTTCCATCAACTACATCCATAATGGAAAGATATGGAATAGAAATAAGATGGATGATGTTGATGACATTTTCTCATACCTCGTATCAAAGGAAATAGATAATGAAAATGAAGATCCAGAGCCAAGGTCTGTATACGAATCTCAAAAGAGGCAAGACTGGCTGAAATGGAAAGATGCTATACAAGTTGAGCTAGATTCTCTTAATAAACGAAGTGTATTCGGACCAATTGTACTCACACCTGGAGATGTGAGACCAGTTGGATACAAATGGGTTTTCGTTCGGAAACGAAATGAGAAAAATGAGATTATGAGATACAAAGCTCGTCTTGTGGCACAAGGTTTTTCTCAAAGACCTGGAATAGATTATGAGGAAACATATTCTCCCGTTATGGATGCAATCACATTTAGATTCCCACTACAAGAAAGATCGGGTTTTACGTCGGCAGATATCAACGTAAAATCGACGTAAAAGAGCATTTACGTCGAATTAACGACGAAAAAAAAAATCGTCGTAAAACAATCGTCGTAAAAGAGAAATCGTCGTAAAATCGTCGTAAAATTACCAACCCAGGAAAATCGTCGTAATATCGTCGGAAACTATTCGTCGTAAACGCGACGTAAATTTTCCAACGAAAGTACAATGAAATAAGTCCATCATAAGAACGACGTAAAATCGATGTAAAATTACATCGATTTAACAACGATTAGGAGACGAATAATTTCAATTAAGGGAAACTAATTTTTTAATTGTCGATGTTAATTCGTCGTAAAGTTTCGACGTAAATCCGACGTAAACATATTCGACGTAAATCCGTCGTTAAATATTCGACGTTAGATCGACGTAAATTTACGACGAATTTACGTCGATTTATAAATTAATTATTTAATTAGATTTTAATTTAATTAATGAATTTTTAAAATAATCAAAAAATTAAAAATAGAAAAAAACAATTTAAATTGAAATTTAAATTCGAAAATAATTTATAAATAAAAGAAAAAATTTAATACAAAATGTTTTTTACAAAAAATCTAATCTACAATGTGATTTCGTAATCGTCGAGGTTGAGATCGACGTCACGAGGAGGCTCTCCGTCTTGGCCGCCCGTCGCTGCTGGACCGTCGTTTCCCGTCTGCACTACCGGAGCCGAAGACTGACCCTGCGTCTACTGGTCCGATGGTCCAGTACCGGAAGTACCACCGGTCTCAAAGACCCCTCGTGCTCGCTGTTGCCTCGCTCGGATTGCGGTGGCCAACTGCAGAACCGCTTCCGCAATGATGTCGAAGAGACCGCGTGCATCTCGGTGAGCTCCTGCTTCTGGGCCACTTGCTCATGCCTGAGAGTGGTGATCTCAGCATTGGATGTAGCAAGCTCCTGGCGAAGATGACTCGGATTCTCCTGCGTGCGAAATCCGGAAGCCGAGGCGGCAGGACAGTCTCTAATAGAGCACATCCCTAAGGTTCGGCCCTTCTTCTTCGGAGCCACCTACAAATGGAAAATAAAAACGTTAATTATTTATTAAGTAATAAATATAATAAATTTTTAAAAAATTGAAAAAGATCATATCTCCTCGAAAATCTGGTCTTGCTCAGCGACGGTCAACGGTACTTGGATAGTACCGTCAGGTGTGGCCTGGGTCTCCCGCTCGGCGATCCGCTGCATAGCGGCATTGTAGATCTCCTCTGACCGAGCGTCGACAAAGCTCCCGTCCCTCTTCCGGTGAGTGGTCTCGAAGAGCTTCGTCATTGGAGGTAGTTCTCCTCCGTTCTCCTCGGCCTACCAATTAATAAACATTAGTCAAAAATATTTAATAAATTATAGCAATAATTAAAAATGAAATAATAATGAAATAATTTATATTTAATTACTTACCATCATGAGACGTCTTCCCGCAAAAGATATTTGGCCAGAAGTGTGCGGGGTCACTAACTTCTGACCGTTAGGACCGACCCGGTTTCTGACGGCCGAACACTTAGCCGCAGTGGTTTGGGCATGCGGGTCCAGCCAATACGCCTTCAACCCGTTCCAACAGAAAGTGGACATGGAGCTCGGCTTTGCGTCGTCTCCATCGTTCTCCTACTTCCGCTTCCAATCGGAAACGGTGTTGACTAGGCGTTTCTGCGCCTTCAGCCGGAAAGCTTCGCGGACCGTCTCGTTGATCCCGATGTCCCAGTTCCACCGTTGCTGCAAAAGAAAACAAAAAATTATATAAACAATATAAAAGTAAGATTAATTAAATTTAAAATAATTTAAAATGATATAAATAAGATTTAAAAAACATTACTTACCAAAAAGAGCCTGGTTCCGCTTTTCCGGGAACCAGACGTCGTAAAGCCCCCCGTCCCGGTAGGGCTAGTAAGTCCTCAACCGTAAATTGGGCATATGGATGAGGAGGGTGGGCCACCGGTTCGGGAGCCGGCGGTGGAGGTGGTGGTGGAGGTGGTGGTGGAGGCGGTGGTGGAGACTGCTCTGCTACGGTATTCGGAACCTGGGAGGCTCCGGAAGATGAAGGGACAACGGTCCCGGTGTTTCCCGAAGCAGACGCCCGGGAAGAGTGTCCGTCCGCCATAAAGTTGATGTAGTGCGTCCTCCGTCGAGTCATCGTTTGCAAAACCGGAAAATTTTTATTTTTGAAATTACAAATTAATTTTAAATTATGATCCTAAATCTAACAAACACCCTAAATCCTTAATCTAACAAATTCCGATCCTAAATCTAACAAATTCCGAGCCTAAACTAATTTCCGACCTAAACCGTTTGTATTTCTAAACTAATTAAAAATAAAAATTAGATTTTAAGTAAAAATAAAAATTAGATTTTAAGTAAAAAAAAAATTACCTATTTTTTTGGGTTTGCAGGGAAGCAACGAAGTGAGGAGGAAGCAGGGAGAGGAAAAAGTTGAATGAGCGACGAAATGAGGAAGGGGTGCTTCCATATATATAGAATTTTTATTCGTCGTAAATCCGACGTAAACATTACGACGAATTTACGACGAAATCGTCGTAAATCCGTCGTAAAGCTGCAACCGTACAACAAAGCGAATAAGACACACACACGTGGCTGTATCTGGACTTTGCGACGAATTTACGACGATCAGGGTTATTCGTCGTAAAATCATCGTAAAATTACGACGAATTTACGACAAATCCTTATAAATCATAAAAGTTATAACGGCTATGTATTTACATATCGTCGTAAAATCCTCGTAATATTACGACGATTTTACGATAGTATGTACAAAAATGATGAATTACAAAAATTGAAACACCCATAAGCACATACAAGCATGCCTATACATGCTAAATGTGGTCTGTATAAGTTTCTAGCATGTTTACATAACATAATGAAGAATTTGGTTTGATCTAAGATAAATTCTTACATCTTCTCTAAATGTATATAACACCTTAAGATTACTTGATAAACACATATATGTCAAATTTTGAAATTTTTTTTTTTTGTTTAGAAAGTTGTTTTACCTTATGAGATGGTAAGCCATATCATTATCTTCATCTGAATCCCCCCCGAACCCCAGAAAAGATTGATTATAAGATTTAGGGGTTACATTTCGTCGTTAACTCGATGGTATTTTACGACGAATTTACGACGAATGGGTGTGATTCGTCGTAAATTCGTCGTAACATAAACCACATATCTACAAGTTCTTTAATCTTATACTACAAAACCTTATATAATACATTAGTTTACTCAGGAAAATGCACCCAAAAACCATTATGTGAGTTGGGAAAGCTAAACCCTATAGGGTTTAGGGTTTACATTTTACGACGAATTTACGACGATTATTTATAAATCGTCGTAAATTCATCGTAATAGTCAACATATGTCCAAGTCAACACTTAAGCAAATTTTCTTTTCATTAATTGTCAGAAACGACATTCTTCAAGCTTCTCATCATCTCTCCAAAAAAACATACAATTATCAACACAAACATCAATCATCTCAGAAGGCAATCCAAGACTAAAAACCAGCTTCTGAATTTCATAATACGTTTCAGCAGCCAAATTATCATCTGGCAACTACTCTTTAATAAGATCTGCCCAATCGTTCATGCAAACTTCAGATAGATTGTGATCAGTTTTTATTGTCATCATCCGAGCTGCCAATGATAATTTTGATAAACCTTCCCTACATCCCTCGTACAGAGGCTGTTTTGCTGCGTTTAACATATCATAAAAGCGTTTCGCATCTGCATTGGGCTCCTCAACAGTATCAGCATGTGTTTCATGAAATGCATCAGTAACCATTTCATGCATCCTATCATGATCTTCATCCTGAACTTGACTACTTTGATAATCATTGGACGCTTCAAAATCCACATGTTCTTGATGATTACTACTACTCCGTGCAGCCATCTGACCACTACTTTGACCATATCCCTCTCCATGCTGATACCAAATAAAGTATTGGGGCATGAACCCTCTATTCAATAAATGCTGCCAGACAGTGTCAATAGGAATATGTTTCCTATTTTTGCATTTCACACAAGGACAATACATTTTGCCGCTTTCAATTACAGTTTGCATAAGGCCGGCTTGGTACATGAATATTTCCAATCCGTTTTTGAAGTCTTCAGTCAACGACCCATCACCATTTTTGGGCGTATACATCCACTTTCGTAGATCGTATATAGACATTTCAAAAACAAATATTTGACTTTTTGTTTTTGAAATTTGATATAAATTTCAACTACTAAAAATTTTACTTAAACATTCAAAGACTCAAAAAATTTGTGTCTTTATATGTTTTTTTTGGTTGATGGAATAATGAGAGAAGAAAGGGTATATATAGAATTTTTTGTTTGGTTACCAACATATTACCTTTGCATATTTACATCAAATTTACGTCGAAATAAAATTTACATCATATTTACATTGATTTTACGTCAATTACAAGATAGAGGACAATTAGTCGTATTATCGATGTAAATATTACGACAATATTACGACGAAATAAAATTCGTTCTTCATTCGTCGTAATATCGTCGTAACATTACGACGATTTTACGAGGGTCATTTTTTACGTCGAATTTACGACGAAATTTTTGATCGTCGTAAATACGACGTAATGTCGTCGTAAATTTACGACGACTAAAAATCGTCGTAAATAATTCGACGGAAAAGCCCCTCATTCTTGTAGTGTCCTGATGAGTCTAGCTGCTGATGAAAATCTAGAAATGCGTCTCATGGATGTCGTTACAGCATATTTATATGGAACATTAGATACGGATATCTATATGAGAATCCCCGACGGATTTAAGATGCCTGCAGCATTAAATTCTAAACCCAAAGAGTTATGTTCAATAAAATTACAAAGATCATTGTATGGGCTAAAACAATCTGGACGTATGTGTACAATCGTCTCAGTGAACATTTAACAAAAGAAGGATATGTGAACAATCCCATATGCCCATGCGTTTTCATCAAGAAAACAACATCCGAATTTGTAATTATCGCGGTATATGTTGATGATCTGAATATTATCGGAACTCAAGGGGAAACACAAAATGCATCAAATTACCTAAAAGGAGAATTTGAGATGAAAGATCTCGGACAAACAAAGTATTGTCTTGGCTTACAAATTGAGCATTCTGAAAAGGGTATATTTGTGCATCAATCCACATATACGAAAAGAGTGTTAAAATGCTTTAATATGGATAAAGCAACTCTTTTAAGTACTCCTATGGTCGTTAGATCACTTAAGGTTGAAAATGATCCATTTCGACCACATGAGGCAAAAGAAGAGATACTTGGTGCTGAAGTACCATACCTTAGTGCAATTAGAGCCCTTATGTACCTAGCCAATTGTACACGGCCTGACATATCATTTGTTGTTAATCTCCTGGCAAGATTCATCTCGTCCCTTACACGAAGACATTGGAATGGAATCAAACATGTCTTTCGTTACCTCCAAGGGACTATTGATCTAGGTTTGCTCTATCCTAAAAATTTAAAGAGACAAATAGTTGGTTTTGCAGATGCAGGATATTTATCGGATCCACATAAAGCCCGATCACAAACATGATATGTATTCACGATCGGAGGCACTGCTATATCTTGGTGTTCTCAGAAGCAGACGCTCGTGGCCACTTCTTTGAATCATGCTGAAATCATCGCACTCCATAAAGCAAGTAGAGAATGTGTATGGCTGAGATCAATAAGTCAACATATCCAATCAAGCAGTGGAATTCACGTAAATACGGAACCAACTGTCTTATATGAAGACAATGTTGCATGTGTTGCCCAGACAAAGGAAGGTTATATCAAAAGTGATAGAACCAAACATATCCCTCCAAAGTTCTTCTCATACACTCAAGAGCTCGAGAAGAATAAATAAATTGAAGTAAGAAATGTCCGATCTTGCGAAAACGCAGCAGACCTCTTCACGAAATCATTGCCGACCACTATGTTCCGAAAACATGTTCATAATATTGGAATACGTCATCAACGAGACTTATAGAATGATATTTAGTCATTCGAGGGGGAGCTTGCATAGTTGTACTCTTTTTACCTTCCATGGTTTTTCCTACTAGGTTTTCCTGGAAAGGTTTTTAACGAGGCAACAAAGACATAACGCAAGAAACAATAGTGACACTGGTCTCTAAAGGGAGTGTTATAAAAGTCAAAGAAAGAAGCACGTATATTCAACAATTACGAATAGTTTTTTCATTCTTGTGGAGCCCACCGTCACTATGCATACATAGTAAATTTTGCTTTTTAACTTCTATATAAACGAATGTTTTTGTTCATTTTGTAAAATCATCTCATCTTTCAATTATAACATCTTCTTCCTTTCTCTTTTTCTCATCCTCTCGCTTTCTCTTTTACGAGTATCCTATTCTTTTACGGATATAAAATTCTTGTCTTTATTTATATTTATCTTAATAATAAATTATAGCTATTATTAAAACACTACAAACCATTGTTTTCCTTTTTATTATTTTGAAAGTGTTAATATTTTGGAAATAGAAATTGAGCTTCTTCGGGGAATAAAATTATGAGTTTGTTTTTTTTTTCTGATGAAGTAACGATCTGACAATTACTTTGAATATTAGAGAACTAAAATCGTATAAAATGTAACTAGAACAAAGATCTATGTATCTAACAATCCGTAAATTAACTTGGACAAGTGTGACACACTAAACCATATTAACGGAACTATGGAAGTGTTTACTTGTAAAAGTGGATCTGGGAAACAGCATCAGATTTCTTTTCTGAAACAATAAAGCTGATATTCAAATAAATTAATACTTACATATTATGAAAAGATGGTAAAACATGCAAAAGCTACTAAAGGACAAAAAAGAGACATGTGACCACCATATGCCCTTTTACATATATATTTCTATGTTAGAAAGATAGACACTATTAATCTGTACTGAAAATGATAATATCTATCCTCCCAAAGTTGAACCATACATTGAAAAGATATAATATCATAGCATAGTGGATAGTGCCATAGTGGTAAGTACTAGTGTTACCAATCTGTCATATTTCAAGTTTAAAGTTCGGATGTGTATGTATATAACGTCGACGACAAAAAAAAATCGAAACCAAAAGCATATTTCTTTCAAATGATAAAAATCAATGGGTTTTTTTTTAACGGGGATAATTGAGGAAAACTTTTATTTATGATTTTAAATTTTAAAAATATATTTCTAACAAATTCAGTTAATTTTAATCATTTTGAAAGTGTAATTTCTAAAATAAAATCCGAAACAAAAATATAGTTTTCAAGATTAAAAAAAATCTTCTTTAGAATATTTGTCCAGATTTCCTCTAATAGATCTTCAACAAATATGTCTTTACTCTTTAGTCTAGATCGTCCTTGGATCTTTGTAAACAATTATATCTAAATACTATAGAAAAATACAATAAATGAAGCTCTGCTATAAATAAGACCATACACATATTGCGTTTTAATTGAGACACACCACAAATAGAACAAATAGCCCCCACCACCTACACCAATGGAACCAAAGCTAAGCCATCTTTGCTATTGCCTTCTACTTCTTCCACTACTCTTCCAACACACCATAGCCAAACCTTCATCATCACCAAACCCTAGCAACAGCATCAACTTCATTGTATCTTCATGCCGTACCACGCGTTACCCAACGCTCTGCTTCAAATGCCTCGTGGCTTTCGCCAGCAAAATCCGCTGCAAGGAAAACCGGCTAGCTCAAACCGCTTTAGCCGTTACTCTAGTTCGGGTTCGCTCCACAACGGTCTACGTAGCGAAGCTGACTAAAGCAAGAAGGATCAAACGGAGAGAGTACTTAGCCGTGAAAGATTGTGTTGAGACTCTTGGAGACGGTTTAGCGATGTTGACTCAGTCGATGAGGGAGATGAAACAAGTGGGTCGATCTGGTCGTAGTCAGGACGAGTTCTTGTGGCGGCTAAGTAACGTTGAGACTTGGGTTAGTGCTGCTTTGACGGATGAGACAACGTGTCTTGATGGGTTCGATGGAAAGGTTATGGACGGTGTGGTGAAATCGGCGATTAGAAGAAGAGTGGTTCATGTGGCTCGAGTTACTAGTAATGCCTTGGCTCTTGTAAACCGATTTGCGGCTAGGCATAAATCATAGTTTCGACTAATAAATTAAAGGAATATTCGGTCCTTAATTAGGTTTTGTCAAATCTTTCTTTTCTTGTTCTTCTGTTTATGTTTTTGCATTTTGGGATCTTTATGATGGTTCCTTGTATTTATGTGTAGTCTTGTGCTTTATGCTTTTATCATGGTTTTGACTCTATTGAGTAGAGATAATTGGATATATGGTTAAAAGATGTGGCCATCAAAATTGGTTGTACTCCTACATATAATTAAATTAAGATTTGAGAGTTAAGACTCGTTTTAGTTTACGATATTTTATTTTCTTTTTCATATTTCATAAATCATAACAATAACGAGGCTCGGATCACTGGCAGAAGCCCTCTAAACCGTTGCTAATTAAGACCCAAAATTGAATTTTTTATAGTTTTTTAGTACTACTATTGCATGTTTTGGTGTACTTGATTGATCATTACAAACGATCACTTATATATTTTTACTGTATTTAATATAATTATAATAATTTCATAGTCTTAATATCTTTATAAAGTTTAAATTAAAAATAATATCGTTTTTGACCACCAAAATCTCTGGCCAACTCCGATTCTGGCGAACCCCTCGCAAAAAGAAAAACCAAAAAAAAACTATATTAACCTTTGAGCTAATAATGGGAATCGGAGTTCTTTGACTAATAATGGGATTATGGGAATCGGAGTTCTAGTTCAAATATAAAGAAAAACGAAAGAGTTAATTTCTAGGATAAGCGTAAACTCTATCGGGTCCCGAGTATGCTTCCAAATGAACTTTATAAAAGAAAAAAAAAAAAAAAAAAGATACTTCCAAATGAACATATACGCCAAGGATTGTTGTATACTATTGAATGTTCAAACAACTATCGTTACCATTTTGAGGCACCTTGAATAACCAATGCTGTTTTCTAAAACCAAATGAGTTTTTTTGTTATATATTCACACATAACATACAAATAAATATACGCATTCGAAAGTTGAGCACTTAGTAAACAAATAAATTATTTTATCTATGATGAGAATGCGTTACTTCTTTCCACATAAGCGACATTACTTTTGGCAGTTTGGGAGCAGGTGGAAAATCTTACCACTTGTTAAGACTCTAAGTGCTCTTTTTATTATTTTAAATAAACTTCAAATCATTAGCTTTTGGGGAAGTCACAATACATGGACACAAATTAGGTACAATGGGAATAAAAAATAGCGTATTGCCATATTTTTCAGAACATGCAATTAGTTGAATTCTTTGTTTCATTTTTTTTTTATATAGTAGTATTGCTTCCGTTGTTTCCTGAAAAGCATTTTATTGAAATAAACTATGATTTGTTAACCATCGATACGCTTGTGACCACCATTTCCATTTGTGTAGTGTTGCTGTGAATAGTATGTAGAGTTAATGTATGAAACTATCCTCCTAAACATGGTTTATTACTAGAGTATCTTTAGATAAGTTTACATTGCTAGAATATCCTTAAAAAGTTTGTCAATGTCCTTTTTAACCTGAGGATAGACAGTATTACAGAATTGTCATTTTTAATTATATTGTTTTATTTTTAAAGAGATACTAATAAAAAAGAAATAGGTTAAGTTAAGATTGGGGAGTCTTGTTGGTTTCTCAAAAAGAAAAGAACGATAGCGGCGACGAGTGCGACGGCGAAGGCGAAAAGGAACGAACGAACTTTCTCGACCAGATTCCGGCGAAGATTGAAGGTTTTCCGGTAAGATCTTCTTCCTCACACTACTATGTTCTTTCCTCTTTGTTTACAGAAGTTTCTGCACCGTTCAAAGTATCTTCAGAGTTTGACGACGACTTCTAGGGTTCGAGTCGTCTGCAGATTTCGAGGAGTTGCCAGAATTACTTTCCAAAAATCACCTTATGGCGCCGTTTTAGTATGCGACAACGAGGATTAGACTTGGTTCGGTAAAATCTAACCCTAATTTTTTGTTTGTAGGTGTTAGAGAAATTTCCGGTGGGTTAGAGGAAATCCGGTGAGGGTGAAAATCTGCGGTGAGTGAAGGTTATATTATGGTCGATTTATTGTTAATTAAGCGGAGTTTTTGTTATGTTATGATGGTAGACTTGAATGGTATATAAAATGAGTAGTAGACTTGTTTCTATAAAGAGTAGTATACTTGTTCATAAATGAGAAAGAGTTGTAGACTTGTTCGGAAAAGCAGAAAGAGTAGTAGACTTGTTCAGTAAAGATATAGTTTAGTTTAGTAGACTTGTTCATAAATAATTGAGAGTGGTAGACATGTTCGTATAATGAGTGGTAGACTTGTTCGTAAATGATTGAGAGTGGTAGACATATTCGTATAGCGAGTGGTAGACTTGTTTGTAACTGATTAAGAATGGTAGATTAATTCTTATTACATATATGCAGAGATGGCCTCTTCTAGCAAGACGAAGGAGTACCCATCCACACTATTTCCGCCTGGGAGATCACCTTTGCAGAAGAAGAGTTTCCATAATTGTTGCCAATTGACTGAATTCGGGCACATGAGAAATGGAGTTGGAGATACAGTTTTCAATGATATCATGAACACCTCTCAGGTAAGCTTGCTTTAATTTAGTAGATTTGTTTGCCTTTGTAGTTTGATTTGTTTGGTGTTATTTGGTAAATTTGCTGTGTAGTTTAGTAGACTTGTTCGTTATTGATTTATTTTGGTATCATCTACAATTCTCAGGTTGGAGTTTTGCTGAAGCTTGCTACGAAGACTTACACCTGGTCTGCGAAGACCGTTCATTCATAATTTTGCTACCAACCAATTAGCTATTGCTCGGAAAAATGAGATGTGGTCACTCATTGGTGGTCGTCCCCTTAGATTCTCACTTCACGAGTATGGTGCAGTTACCGGTTTTAACTGTGATCTTGTAGACGAGACTGACTCTTGGGACATCGACCATACAGAGTTTTGGGCAGAGTTGGGAGTGGAATCAAGCGAAGGTCCAAACTATTATGAGATAGTCCGTGATTCTGTCAGGCCCTATGCAAGGATGATCCCACTCTTGTTGAAGCATCTTGCACCACCAGAACGTTGGGACGCCATTATCGATGGAGATTTTGTGATCAACCTAATCAAAGCAGCTCCGCCTAACAAACAAATAGGTGATTATGGCGTGTATACTCTTAAGTATATCGAGTGTTTAGCTTTGGGCCATGGTTGGGGCCTCCTCAAAGATGACAACATACCTTTTATTCGTCTGAAGTATGCTTCTGAGATGTACGATGAGGTCCACGAACCAGATGAAGCATTGATGTCTGATCCAAACCCGCATGGTGAAGCCGCAAACAAATACGGACCGGACACAAACTCGGCAAAATGAAACTGACTGTTTCGAGGTAGACTTTTTTGGGACCTAATATTCGTCTATGGATAGACTTATTTTGTATGTCAAACAGTTATGACGGTAGACTTGTTATGTCTAACCCTGACGAAAGTAGACTTTTATTGTTTTGTACGTTGAACCCTAACGACAGAAGACTTCTATGGCGGATTCTTTTAGGACATGTTGATGAACTAGACTTTCAAAGGACCATGATTTTTTTTCACATGATGTTGATCCTTTGAAAGTTTGGTATATTTAATGTTAAAACGGTTAATTATTGGAATATTTTGCATCAATTAGTCGACAACAGTTTTAAAAAAAAAGTACGACGATACAAGTACTAGAAGAGAGTACAAAAATGAAGCAAGTGTTATAAGTCTAACAAACCGATTATTACAAGAGAGTAGAAAATTTAGGCTTTACATGTGATGCGATTATGTCCACTTTTACCACAAGTAGAGCATTTAGGAATCTGTCTTGGACGTTTGTTCGCTGTCGCGATCTCAAATGCACTTTTAATGCGTGTCTTCTTTGGTCTGCCTGGAGGATTGCGAACAAAAGGAGGATGACAAATTTTGTTAGCCACTTCTTCTGGCACTGGTAGTGCTATATCTCTTGTCTACTATAAAATATAAATAAGTATACTACAAGTGGTTATTCAAATAACATGTCTACCATAAAATATAAATAAGTCTACTACAAATGCTACTAAAATATGTTTACCATGAAATATTAAATAAGTATACTGCATATGTTAATTCAAATAACATGTCTACCACAAAATATAAATAAGTCTACTACAATTGCTACAGATGTAAATCATTCTACGAAGGGAAAACAATTACCTGAAGCAACTTTTCGACACTGGTTGTCAGAGTGGTTTGCATTTTCATTGCATTAACGCGTCTTTTAGCAAACCACCTCGTTAGAAGACTCCTTATATCATCAACCAAACGTACTACTGGCTTATTTCTAGCAGCGGATAGAACCTTGTTTATCGATTCTGCTATGTTACTAGTCGTAAAATTATACCTGTCACCTGGGAAATAAACACGACTCCACATACAGATATCTGCTTTGTTGCTTCTCGACTGGTCTATGAAACACTTCAGGAATAATCCTAAAATCTACTGCAAGAGCACAGCAATCGAAATAGTATTTTAGGTATCGAAATCCACAAGGACCAAGTATACGCTACGAGAATGCAGAAAGAAAGTAAAGCTAAGCCTAATGATAGGTTGTTTTGTGGTTTAAGACTTCTAGAAACTAAGAAAAACAAAGTAATGAGATGTAAATTCAAATGAGAAAAGCGCTAGGTCTTCAGGTAATTCGCAGGAAATCAAGACTCACTAAACAGATTATCGAATAGGGAATGAATTAAGAACCATTCTCGAACTCAAACATAAGCGTCTAGCTAACCCACTGTCGTGGCACTAGCTACTATGTCTAATAACCTAAGTATCTAAACTGTCGTTTGACCTTAGAGTTCTAGACATGCATTAAAGTTCTGGTTTGACAAGTTCACAAATCACCTTAGCATCAGCTTTCGTTGGCTAAGGACGATTTGCTCATCTAAGTTCTGTTCGGGAAACTTAAATCACTTTCATGTTTACATTAATCCTAAGATCATAAACTAGGTGATCAATCTAGTCTAAGCCTTAAACTCAACAATAGATGAAGAACTCTATGTGATTCCCTAATCTAACAAATTCAATTTAGTGATTCATGAAAATCCCTTGAAACCCTAAAAACCTAACTGGAGCACTACTCAGACATAGAGGCAGATGAAACACAGAAAGATGGAAAAGAACTCATGATCAATAAAATAGAAATCCATAAGGATTCAGAAATCTTCTCAGAGATGTAGAGTCAGAGATTCGTCTCCCTAATCTTACAAATTGCCAAAAGCTCAAAAAGTCTGAATAGAATAGAAAAGTGTGTTCAGAAAAGTGATAAAAATAGGTTTAAATAGGTATGCAGTCGTCCAGGGCCGAAACAGGAAAAATCGAAATTTCCTTCTTCTCTGGAGAGGTGGAATGATCGTGCTGAAATATCTGGAACGATCGTTCCAGACTTGATCGATCGTACCACCCAGAATTGGTCGTGCTGGAAAATGTTCGCAATTTCTGGCCGGATCGTTCCAGCTGGCCGGATCGTTCCAATCTTTTTTGTTTCGCACTTTTCACCGTTTTTGCTCCTAAGTCTCCAAACTCTGTCATGAAACGTTTTCTGACCTGAAATGACTCTAAAAAGACTAAAAGACTCGAAAAACACTCGAAAAATCAGGTTAGAATGCGTTAAAAACGCAACACATCAGTCTACGACGAACACCCACCTATTTTTCCTTAAAAACCAGTTACCACTTACCAGAATCACTTGTTCCATGATTTCCGGTAATCGAAGGAAATAACTTGTAAGAAGATGTGGAATGATGAAAATAGCTTCTTATAAAGAAACAGATACATGCAACAAATTTTCAAGTATCACAGTTCGACGGCTGCAACCCTAATTGAAGAAGATAACACAATCGGTTTTTTTGTAATATTTACGAACAAATTTGGGCAAAATTAGTCTTTTCAAATTTTTAAAAAGTCAAATGTCTACTATAAACCAGCTTCATAAGTCTACATCCACCCAAATAATTATAAGTCTACTAAACTGAAGATTATTTTTCAAAGTACAGATTAACTAGGTAAGAACAAAATACAAACATAGGTCTATCAGTATTGTAAATCACAAATATTAAATCTACAAAAATTTAATAAATCTACCATACTTATAATTAAATCTACCACATTATTTTCTTATAAACGACTGTTTTAAATCTACAATACATATTAATAAATCTACCAACTCCTGATAAAGCTACTATTAATAGCAATAAGTCTACCAAGCAAAATAAGTCTACTGTACATCAAACTAAAGAAATCTGTCACCATTACAAATAAATCTGCCGCCATTACTATTTAAATCTACCAAAAAGGTAAAACACTTACTATAAGTCAACGATATTTTCATAAGACTATCATTAAAGATAATAAATCTACCAACAATAAATATGTCTACCAACAAAAAAATAAGTCTTTTATGCTATAAAAATATGTATACCAAAACAAGTCTACTAAAGTTCAACAAATCTACCAACTCTCAAATAAATCTACCCAAAAAAATTTGCGTTGACCAAATTTAAACAAGTCTGCTACAAATAGTGGTAGACTTATGCATAATGTCGCGCTACTTTTTGCTTACGTGGCATATAAAAAGTAATGGCATTTTCGTAATAATATTTTTTTTAACAAAGCCTAGCTAAAAGGACAAAATTAGTATACGAGGTTAATCTAGCATAAAAAATAAAAGTGTGTCAAACTATTAATAAACATTGGTTTGGACGATACTTGAGTAATCCACCCTAGTATGTATTATAAACATGTCATAATCACTTGCCATTTACTAGAAATTAGTTGTCGATATGGTAAACCTGTTGAAAATACAGATACGCATCTAAATTAGAAGAATAGATATTGAAAATTTAGAATGCGTCCAGGTTACTAAAAAAAATATATGAAATTGAGAATTATATTTAAATGATTGAAAGAATATCATCTAAAGTAATAATGACGCTTCCTCATCAATCAATAAATAAATAGGTGATTATCTGTACGTTACGTGCAGGTTTTTTTCTTAACTATTTAAAATTTATATATTTTATATTTTTTTTTAAATATAATCATCATAGTATATTATTATAAATCAATCAATTTAAATGTAATATCATTAAAAAATCAAAAATTTATACAAAAAATATTCATCAATATTTTTAATTAATTATAGCCTAAATTTTTGTTTAATATTTACATAAATTTTATTTAAAAATCAATTAATAAAAAAAGTTTTGATTTTATTTGAATTGTTTAAATTTAATATTAAAATTTATTAATTATTTTATCAAAAAAAATAATGTGACATGTGTTATCCTCATATCGATAAATCAATCAATTTAATATCACTAAAAAATCAAAAGTTTATACAAAAAATTATTCATCAATATTTTTAATTAATTATAACCTAAATTTTTTGTTTAATATTTACATAAATTTTATTTAAAAATATATTAATAAAAAAACTTTTTATTTTCTATGAGTTATTTAAAACTTAATATTAAAGTTTATGAATCATTTTTTTAAAATATGATATGTGTTATCCTCGTATCGATAGATAGAAGTTGATGATGTGACACTCATATAAGAGAGAGTTTGTTATTTTATATAAGACTAAGTGAATACCCACACGTAACGCGCAAATTTGTTTTTCAAATATTTCACATATATATAGTAAAAGTAAATATTTGTTAGTATGTTATTATAAACAATCTTAAAAATCAATTAATATATATTGAATATTATTAAGAAATCTAGAATTAAATAAAATTATAATAAATATTCATCCATATTTTAAATTGATGATAACATAATTTTTGTTTAATATTTACATAAATGCTATTTAAGAATTAATTAATAAATACTATTTACATAAATAATATTTTTAGTTGGACATGTGTCACTCTCTCCGATATTGACATGGCACAAAACTGGAGAGAGTTTATCCTCTTTTATATATAAGATAAGATAAGAGAATATTGTCGTTTCAGGGACCGATGCTTTTGGATTAAGAATTGGCAGCTCTTTCCCGGATATAAGAGAGAACTAATTCGTGATTAGGGGGTTTCTCTTCATAATTACGTTTATGTTAAATCTTTTATAAGTTAGAGAGACATAGAGTATGTATCCACTGTCTAATCTCTATTTCCATTTAACCGCTGTTAGAGAAACATAGAGTATGTATTTTTAAATAGATTATCAGATGTGAAAAATAAACATACCTTTAAATTATTAACCAATTTATATTAATTAGTTTATAATCTATAAAAATGAAAACATAAGTAAAAAAGAGAAATAAAACAATTTCTCCTCCTAAAATTAGCTTCATGAAAAAAAAATTCATCTAAAAAATATTAATTATCTTGATGGGTTAGGTAATGACGGATCAAATTTCAGTAAGTATATTAACAATAAGTGTAACAGCTACAATGACTAGGACAAATAAAATTTTCATCTTTAAATTCTTGAATTATCTAATGGAAACTCTTTCAAAACCAAATTTGATAACGTCATCTTAGTATATACATGTCTATCTACACATATAAATGTAAAGAATTACAAAAAAAAATGGAATTATGACTGCAAAAAGGTTATGGTTTTGGATTTGAGTGATAAAGATGAGGACATGAGATTTTCATCATTCCAGAGCACAAATTTTGACTGGTATGAGATAATCTATATATAAAATAAATTTAAATACAATACATGAGTACAAAAGAAAAAATCTTATACAACATCAAATAGTTTTCTTTGCCTGTAACACGTGTAAACTATTTTCACATATATATCTGATGGATAATATATATATATATCATTTTTTAGTTAGCTCATATTTAATTTTTTTATTAGGCATTAGAATTTGTTCACACTATAATCTTGAAAGCTATTTTAATTGTTTTTGACTTCTTTCAAATTGCTGAAAGAAAAATGGCAATTCAACATTGGTGGTTCCATCACCAGCCAGCTCCAAAACAGACTTATGTATATTAAAATTTTTGATTTTTTGAAAAAAATAAAATAAAAGATTGTTATCAAAATACAGAAAACTGTTTACCGCTTTCCAAAACATATTTTTTAAGCATAAAGATGTCTTCATCCAATATCATAGATTCAATAAAATTTTGTAAAATTAAATTTTTTAATCTTTTCTTCTATTTAAATTTACCCAACAGTTTTATTTTTTATCTTTTTGAATTATCATTTTACCCAACAGTTTTTTCTTTTTCCACTATTGTTCTTTAATATTTTCAGCTCTTTTCTATGGTTTTTAGCTCTCTTCAATGGTTTCAGCTTTCTTCTATGTAAAAAACACTCCATGTTTGCTTTCATTTCGACCATGTACAATGGAGGTGTTGAATTTAAAATTCAACTGTTTAATCCCCACAATGAGGATGTTGAAAAAAACAAAAAACTTACGTGGTCTTTTCAATCTGTTGAAACTTTTTTTTATTGGGGCCCGTGAAAGACACATATCATCTCTAGAGAGGAAGTTGGAAAAACCACTTTATCTTTTTGTTTTGTTTTTCTTTATTTCGTTTTTCTCTAAAATTTTAGGATAAGACACATGTTGTTTTTTAATAGGTGGTTAAAATTTTTGAGATTTTTTATCTCACTCTATCTATTCAACATCAATTATTATATAGAAAAAGATTTTTTTCTATTTATATCAAAATTCATAATTTTTTGTACTCTATAAATAGAGACTTGTTTCATTTCATTTGGACACAGAAAAAAAATCGACATTTTTTATTATAAATTTCTAATTTTTCTCTTTTAAATTCTTTTTTAAGTTTCTAAACCTTTTTTTTAATGGATTCGAATAATAATCCTTTTAACTCCCAAAATTCTGCAAATTACCCTTTTTCTTACCCAAATTCCAACAATTATCAGTTTCAAAATCCATCTGGAAATCAACCTTAAAATATTTCAAATTATAGTGTTTCACCAAATTTTTTTCTGCCTTCATGTATTCCAAACTATCATCCATATTATGGATCAATGATGTCATATTCATCTTAACCACCCTCTTATTCTTCTAATCCGATAGGTAATGAAAATATTCCGAGTATTGGAGCAGTTGAATTTCCCGGATTTTCTACACAAATGGATCATGGAAGGAGGAGCGGTGTTGATGAAGACACTCCAAATGCAGGAGATTCAACCTCTACTCGCCGAAAAAATCCAAAATGGACTACTGAACAAAATTTAGTGCTACTAAGTAGGTAGAATAAATATGGAACAGACAGCATCATTGGCAGAAACCAAAAAAGTGAAGCATATTGGGGTAAAATTGATGAGTATTTTAACGAGCATTGCTTATATGATCCTCCGCGAGATGGCATTGCATGCAGAAATCATTACAACTATGTCAACCAAAAATTGGGCAAATGGATTGGCGCTTACGATAATGCTAAGCATATGCAACAAAGCGGGTGGTCGGAAAATGATGTATTGGCGAAAGCGCATGAACTATATTCAAATGGTAAGAATGGACATTTTAATTTAATGTCAGAATGGATCGCTGTCCGTGATCAACCACGTTATGGTAGTCAGGTAGGAGAAAATACAGGCTCGGAAAACAATGGTTCTAAGAGAGCCCATGATAGTGATGCAAGTGACTCTAACTCGGTAGGATCTAGTGTTCGTCCGATGGGGAGGGAAGCAGCTTAAAAACAAATCTAAAAAAAAAGTAAAGGTGCTGTCTTAGAAGTCGTTAACGAAGAGTGGAACGGATTCAACCAATTGAAGGAGCAAGAATTCGAACAATTTGAAAAATTAGCCAAGAGGCAAGAGGAGACCAACCAATTGATGAAAGAAAAGACTCAAACTAAGAAGATGAAGATGTTTATGAAACTAAGTGAAAATGAGCATCTCGATGATCGGAGTAAACAATTATTGGAGAAGTTGAGCCATGATCTATTTGGAAGTTAATGGTTATTAAGCGAATGTCTACTTTTGTTACTCTCTACTATAATATTTAGTTTTCATATGTCGCTTTAATGTTTGTCATATGTGTATGTCTGTATTTTATCATTTCATGTAATAATTGTTGTTTGTCATTTCTTTCAATAATGTATCTTTGTTATCATTCCATTATTTTCTGACAATGTAATCCTTATCTTTTAGATTTCAAACACATGATTTTTTAGGAGAAAATCCTTATCTTATATTTATCTCTTGTATTTCAACCACATGATATTTTAATCAAATCTTTATCTTATCCTTCTCTTTTGGATTTCAACCAACGATTTTCTTATAAATGGGACTCATTCTTCATTGATGAACCAATATCACAAATCTCATCTTTTACTAAAACAAAAAATTTTATGGATCCATCAGAATTTCCTTTTGATATTGAACCTTACAAAAGAAGATCTGAAATTGAAGAGAGATATATCGTCAAGCGGTTTCAAGAGTGTCAAAAAAAAATAGAGGAAGACTATCCACGCCGTAACAAGAGAAAATACTTCAAAAGAGATCATCTAGCAGCAAATCAAAGACTCATTGACGACTACTTTGCCAATCAACCAACATATGATGATGTAATGTTTCGTCGGCGATTCCGGATACGAAAACATGTCTTCCTTCGAATCGTTGGAGACCTGTCAAGCAGTGACAACTACTTCACCCAACGAGTTGATGCAGCCAATAAAGAAGGTATATCTCCACTAGCAAAATGTACCACAGCCATGCGAATGTTAACATATGGTATGGCGGCAGATGCGGTTGATGAATACATCAAAATATGAGGTACTACAGCATTAGAGTGCTTGCGTAAATTTTGTAAAGGAATCATACAGTTGTATGAGCAAATGTATCTTAGAGCTCCAACTGAAGATGACCTGCAAAGAATTTGCATGTTAGCGAGCTGCGGGGGCTTCCTGGGATGATTGAAAGTATCGATTGCATGCATTGTGAATGGAAAAATTGTCCTACAGCATGGGAAGGTCAATTTACTCGGGGAGATAAGGGAACCACAACTGTTATTCTTGAAGCAGTTGCATCCCATGATCTCTGGATCTGTCATGCCTTTTTTGGGTGTCCGGGCACATTTGAACGATATCAATGTTCTAGATCGTTCACCAGTGTTTGATGATGTTGAACAAGGAAAGACTCCAAGAGTGACCTTCTTCGTGAACCAACGTCTGTATGATATGACATACTATCTAGCTGATGGTATATATCATTCTTATCCAACTTTCGTCAAATCAATTCGTCTTCCTCAAAGTAAACCAGACAAGTTATTTGCAAAAATATCAAGAAGGATATCGGAAGGATATTGAACGTGCTTTTGGAGTGTTACAAGCTCGATTTAAAATCATTCGTGAACCAGTTCGCTTGTGGGAAATAGCCGATTTAGCTATCATCATGCGGTCATGTATCATATTACATAATATGATTGTTGAGGATGAACGAGATACATTTGCACAACATTGGAAAGATTATGATCAATCTGAGGCAAGTGGTTCTAGTGCACCACAACCATTCTCAACAGAAGTGTTACCTGCATTTGCAAATCATGTACGTGCTAGATCTGAATTACGTGATTCAAATGTACATCATGAGTTGCAGACAGATCTAGTCAAACACATATGATGATTAAGTTTTAAGTTTCTGTGTGTGATTTAAGAGTTTTCTTATTTGTAAGTTGAGTTTATTGTACTAATTAAGTTATGTATGTTTATTAGTTATATTTTGTGTTTGTATTGTATCATATTTGAAATTTATCATAATTTAATTTGTTTTCATAATAATTTTTTAATTTACAAAAATTAGTTAAAAAAAGTAAATAAATAAATATATATATATATATATATATTTAAAACATATTATCTAATTTTAATAATACTAATTTAACTTTAATTGATAATCATTATAAATATGTAGTTAAAAAATTATAAAAGAAAATAATAATATATATAAATGGTGGGGTAAGGTGTTGAATTTTATTAAAAAAAAAACCATTGTAAATGTTAAAATTGAATTGGGTGTTGAATGATTAGATGGAGGAAAGAGAAAATGATGAGGAGTGTTAAAAGTTGAGGTGGAAGGTGTTGAATTTAGAAACCATTACTCACAAGCTTTCTTTTATTTTGCGTTTTTGGTTTTTAAGCTTTTATTTTGTAAACAATGCCTCTTCGGCCTCCCACTCCCATAGCAATCAAATGATAAAATGAGTTTAATATATATTTTTGTTTCATTTAATTGTATTTTTAGTATATTTTTTATTTTTCAAGCATGAAGATGTGTTCACCACTCTTCACACCATCATGATGAATACTATTTAGATTGTGTTGGTCTTACTTCAAATAAAGGCGGGAAGAAATGACAATCCAACATTGATGACTCTATCATTGTACCAGTCTAAATTTTGGTTTGATGAACCAACGACGAGAAAAGGATATGTGATGGGTGCACTAGGTGGTAGATGCAGAGATGTCAAACGACGTTTTTGGAAAGACTACAAACGAGATACTTTAAATGAAACATTGCAGAATCGACCTAATAATGTTCTTGAAAGTCAATGGGATCATTTTGTTCACATGAGGTTTACTGAAAAGTGGAAGGTAAAGTTTATGATTTGATATATATATATATAAGTAGTTGTACGTATCTATATTAAACGCAACCTATTTTTTTCTTTACTTTGTGAGCTTACAGAAAATGCAAGAGCGGAATACAAAGAACCAGAAAAAAAAATACCATGCCTCACTTATGTGGAAGAAAGAGCTTTTCAAGGAAAAAAGAAGAGATTGTAAGTAAATTATAATCTGTCATATAAATCTAGTCTATCACATTGATATTGTATAATTTTTATGCATGCATCTTTACTGAAGAAAATTAAGACTGGAAAAACACCAAGTCGAGGAGAGTTTTTCATTGAGACTCGCACGAAACCTGATGGAACCTTTGTATGTGAGGAAGCAAGAGCACGTGCAGTAAGTTTTATTTGCAATCACTTTTGATTTTTACTATTATAATTTTTTTAAAAGATGGATATTTATTCTTCCCGGATCTTTTTGTAGGAAGCACTTACAACATTTGATGAGTCAAAATCCGCAAATGAAAAATAATGTTACAGTTAGTTTGGATGATGAATATGCTCAAGTGTTTGGTCCAAAGCGTCCAGGACGAGTGCGTTGTGTTGGTCGTGGACCCACACCTTCAAGATTAGTGAGACAGAAAACTGTAACCATTTCTGAAATAGAAAATTAAGAGATGGTTGTTCAGCTAAAGGAAGAAATGAAACGATTAGCAGATCAAGTTAAGGGTATGACCACATTCATCCAACAGATACTTGGCACTTCAACTGGTGAACAGGTAAAATACAACAATAATCTGTAAATTAAAATGCTTTATCATAATTGTTGTTTAAAACTAATATATTACTCTAAATATCTAGGCAACGACATAGGCTGCAAGTTTTGCTGCAGCTTTTGCAAACATACCGAATCCAGGTTTTGCAAACATACCAACTCCACGTAATCCTCGGGTAAATGTTATTTACATATTAGTTTATAAACATCAAATATTTAAATGATAATCTAATTTTTTGTATGCATTTCTCTCAGGAAAACAATGACGGTGTCAATTAGCGGATTTCCAAGTGTTTACAAGTCGAAACTATTCTTTTTTCAGCAAAAAAATATTAATTTATATCTGGTTTTATTTTTTATATCAATTAGCGGATTTCCAAGTGTTGATTTATGTTTTATGGTATGCATTATGGATATAATTTCCTTTCCAATACATTTGTTAGTAATTTATATCTGGTTTTATTTTTAATATTATTAATTTATTTGGTTCATTTTAATATATTAAAATTCAATAAAAGTAGCTATAATTAAATAAATAAATAAATATTTTCATCGACTTCTAGTTGATTCTATATATTATTACAATCAGTTTTGAAAACTGACACAAATTTTAATATCAATTAAAAACAATCGACCTTAATTGTTTAAATCAGTTATTGTAAATGATATACATATCAACATCATTTACTAAAACTGATACTATTTTTAACATCATTTTTTAAAAACTGATGCAAATATTAACATCATTTATTAAAATTGATACTTATTTTAACATCAGTTTTTTATAAACGATACAAATATCAACATCACTTATTAAAAATGATACTAAATGTAACATCATTTTTAATAAATGATACTAAAATTAACATCATTTTTTTATAAATGATACTAAGATTAACATCATTTATAATAAACGTCACAAATACTGAAATCACTTACGAAAATTGATGTGAAAAATAACATCATTTTTGGCAATTGACACATATTTACATCAATTATTATAATCGATACAAATATTCCAAATATTTACATCGGTTTTAAACTAATTGATGCAAAATATTTGAATCACCACTTTCAGAGTCACTTTTTTAAGTGATGTAAATTTCTTTTGCATCATTTATAAGTAATACAAATAATTAAAATAAATGATGTATACTAAGCTTTTTTTTGTAGTGTATACACTGCTTATTACACTATAATGTATGTCATTTTGATTATTATTTTCTTCTTTCAAATCACTGAGTAGAGAAATATAAATCCAACATTTGTGGTTCCATCACTAGTCTGCTCCGAAACATATCAATACATATTAAAATGTTTGAGTTTTTTTAAGGAAATGAAGGATTATTATCAAAACACAAAAACTTGTTTATCGCTCTCCAACACAATTTTATTTTTTAATCATAAGGATGTGTTCACCGCTTTCCACACCATAATGTTGAACATCATATTAATTATTCATGTCTTCCTTGAAATCATTGCAGAGAGAAATGAAAATTCAAAGTTCATGACTCCATCACCAGCCAGCTCCAAAGCAGATCCATCCATATTAAGATCTTGATTTTTTCAAAAAAAAAAAAAAATAGAACTGTTATCAAAACACGAAAGATTATA